ACACACACACACACACACACACACACACACACACACACACACACACAGAAATATCACTTTTAGGCAGAGATCACGCATGGAACATTTTGGCCTCAGAAGGCAAAAGTTTCAGAACATTATCAGGAACTGAAAACAGGAAGGTATACTGGAGTCTATTACGCAACCTGAACTACACCAGTTCCTACTGCTCTCCAATACCTGAAAGCTTTCCACACTGTGGAGATAACTTTTTAAAGTAAGTTCTACAATAGGAGGCAACTTTCAAAACATTTCAGTTTCTAGGTCTACCCTTCCCAGCTCCACTTTAAGCCATCAAAATTTAATGCAGAAATGAAGCCACGCCTCCTGACAAATAAAATATAACAAAATAAAGAACCTACAATTTACAACTAAGTAGATGTTGAAGAAATCCAAAAAAAGGTCTTTAAAACGCCCCAGTTCGGTTTTCATTGAAGTCAATTCATATGAACTTCACTGGGAGCATGGTCAGGCCCTTAGTAAACATCTGAGAAGAAATAAGGGCAGAATTTAAAAAGAAGAAGAAGAATTTGCTTCATTGTCATAATTACTACAAGGGTTGTTTATTCTTGGCCTGTTTTTCAACTCTGGAAGAGATTTTATGAGTGGAACAAATGATGTCTCCTATAATTTCCTCAGATTAAAAACAGTACTGTTGCTTAGCGTAGGGCAATATCTTCATTTTGCTTGGAGAACATTTAGCACATTTCTTAAATCCCTTTCAAGCTAAACATTTTTGGGGGAAGGTAATTCAAAGTAGTTTTGAATTTGAGAGATAAAGACTCTAATCAACTTTTCACCTGGCTTTGTAAATTACGAGCCTGAGTGTAAGCAAAGAGCACCTTTTGTCCCTTTGTTATAGCTAATGGTACAATATCATACACAAATAGAATGGGACTAGTCAAATATGTTTCAATCTAGAGAGCACCACCAGGAAAATGTTCATGAGGCTTGAAAGAGCAAGGGAAAAATGGACTTTTAAAAGTTATACTTCTCTAATTTCTTATTTTTGTGGGCAGAGGACTTCCAAAACACATACACAAAGTTCTAAGTTTCTTTCAGTTAAGGTAAACAAAATTAAAGTAATGTAAAATCTTGTTCTACAGCCAAAATGATCCATGCCATCTGGAGAACAGATAGAGAACTGTACATATCTAACACACAGGTAGCGTAACAGAGGCCTCATTTGCAAAACAAATCCAATATTCATTATTAAGAAATCTACTATTACTTCATGATGTTGAAAAAAACTAGTAAGAGTTAATTACCATCACGGGGGGGGGGGGGAGGGGGGTGATGAGAAAGAGGAACAGTTTGCCACAAGAACATCTAAGATTCGGTTTTGCTGTCTTTATCAGACCCAGGACTGTTGAGTTTCCCTTCCTGAAGATAGTTTCAAACTGAAGACTATTCCTAGCTGATCTGTGAGATTTTGTACCTCACTCCAACGTACAAGAAACATTTCAAGTAGAACACAGTTCTGAATCCACATACTGTGCCCACACCCCACTCCCACAAATTATTACTGGATAATAAAGAATAGACCAAAAAATTGCCACCCATTCCCCTGACCTTACAGCTGAGGTAGATTCTCACCTGCTATAGAGAGAAACTCACAGAAGCAAATGTAACAGGTAAGAAAAGTTCCATCTCTTTACTATAAAAATAGAGTGACACATTTGATGCAGAAACTTTGGATGCCAGTCTTGGCACAAATCTCTGGTATTGGTAAATAAGCTGGCCTTCCAGCTGCATTAAAATCAGGGCTACAGCTAAAATCCTAGAAGCAGTACACAAATGGGATGGAATATTAGCTTTAACTAATTAAATAACCAAATCTTATAAAATTTCTAATAATTTAAATATCTTTGTTCTAAAACCAAGTCATGAAAATGTGGGAAACACACAAAGAAGTAATTACAGGATAAAAGAAAACATGGAGCCCAAATCATGCACTGCCCCACTAAATAAAAGGAAGAGTAAGTTTTCTACCAGTTTGCAGCCCAGAATTTGGTTCTGCTTCCAAGACCCTTTCCTTAGGTCATGGAATACCATACACCTTCAAAGAGGCACTTTTACATTCACTGCAACACACACAAAACAAGACATTTCACTCTCTGTGCAAATGAAAACAATTAGAAATCCAGTAGGAAGAACAGAATAATGGAGCCAAGAATCACTATGTGGATCTGTGAGAATTTTCTCCACAGTATATAGTTAAATCATCCTCTACCTAATATCCAGTTCTGTAGAAACTGCTGCATTCACAAAAGAGAAGCAACTTTATCTTTAAAAAATGATTTGATTTTGGAACCAGCAAAGGATTTATGAGCAAAAGACATTTTGAAAGTGTGTGTTAAAATTTCCTTAAGGGTTAATGTATGCTCGAGTCTTTTTTCTGAATGGTATTTTCAAGAAAAACCTAAAATAGATTAAATTATGTCAGAGACTTCAAAGGAAAACACTGTTCTTTCAAGGAGGCTTTTATGTAGCACAAAAAATTGAGCACTGCAAGCAGTTCTTGAGTGCACAACTGAGATGCAATTTGATAAACAGCTTTCCGTCATTCAAGGCTAGGAATGTGCAAAACCATACTATCAGCACTTTCATCAAAAACACTATTCACTCTTTCTATCTCATTTTTATTGTGACTTTTTCCTTTTATTTACCCAGTCAATCATAAAAAATAGGTTTCTTACCACTTGTATGTGATACCATGCGATCTGCAGATGAAGGGTCATTTTCACTTTCCTTAATGCCACTGCTGCTGTTGTCTTTTTCAAGCAGTCTGTCCACCATTGCAATAATGCAGTTTAAACTCTTCCCCACATTGGTCCACACCCTATCCTGAAAAGAGCATCAGTATCACTACACATTATTGAAAGAAACATAGGGAGAGATGTATTAGTAGACCACTGGCTTCTTAATATTGTCTACAGTACAATTACTGAATTGGATAGTGAAGATTAGGTGTCTACAAATTATGTAACTTAACATCTTTACACAGCATATCATCATTTCAAGAATTTTTTTTTCCATTGTCCCTGTTTCTTTGGTGTAAATAACTGAATGGGAACTGATTTTTTTAAGGCACTGAAAGTAGTACATTTGTCGTTCACTTCACTCTGTCCAAAACCAAGGGCTAAATCTCCTAAATATGCCCACATTGCATGTACAGTTGGATGCAAAGTTGTCCACTTTAGGTTCAGTCCTGTGAGGTTCTGAGCATCCTCGCCTCCGATTAACTGACTGCAATGGGAGGTGAGGGTGCTCGTTACCTTGCGGGATTGGCTTTTTGTTTGCAACACCGTGGTTTGCACGTGCAGCTTTATCAAAAGGATGTGCCCATTTTCTGAACCCTCCATTTGCTAAAATGAGACCTATGCTGAATAAGCAAACATAAAAATGAGAGATGGTACACCAATATTAGCAGCTTGCCTATATGCCACATTCAGTATCTAATGCAATTTCATTTTGTACATCATCTTCCATACAAATTGCAACCCATGACACTTTACAGAGTTAACCGGACATAACAAAAACTGCAGAAATAATAGAACGGGAACGAAATCAAGAGGTATAAGCACAGATGAAAAGATAAGGTCAAGTCATTTGGAATGAGACAGACTAGAATCACAATGCTGGAGAGGAACAAGAAGGCTCCTGCAGGTGTCAGAAGTTGCAGAAGAGAAGGCTCTTAGATCCAGAAAAGAGGCCAGAGCCAGATAAGCAGAGAGAAATTGTGAGACAAGGGTAGTGACAGAGCTTGGAATGACTCCATCCACACTTTAAAATTAAAATGAATCATTTGACCTGAAATAAATGGATAGCTAATGGAAGAAAGAGGGTGAGTGATGCGATCATTCTTCTATATATGTGTGATGGGGTGCCCAGAAGTGTACCGCGTGTTTCTGTGGTGGGAGGCATAGGAAGGGAGTTTTACAAGACAAAGTGAAAGAAAAGGGTAAGCAGGAGGACTTAAGCAGAGACATAATGAACATAACATCACATATGGGCAATGCTGTGGAGGTGGGGGATGGGAAGACTCAGACATGGGATGTGTGGGAGAAGGAGGATTTAGACTCAAAAACAATACTATGGTTACAGACAAATATAAACAAATGGAAGCTGGACGGAGATAGAAGAGGCTGGATTTGTGCCAGAACTTCTACTCAGGCAAACTTCTTATTAATCTAAAACTATTCTGTATTGTGTATCACCATACTTTACAACATATAATTCTGCTGTAGAATGTATCACACTTTTAGAAGTTGCTACAGTATTTCAGTACTTATGTGTATAGTTCTTAATGGCTGGCGATTCCGTGGCTTTCAAGGGTCTTTTAATGAGACACTTACTCTATAACAAAGAATTTGCTAGCCACTTCCAATCTGAACCCATAACATAATCTTAAACTATGTCCAATTAATCATAGATTGTATAACACATAGTGGGAAAGTTTACCTAATACTGTAAAATAATCCTGATTTATGTATAAGATTCTAAATTTAGAGATATGCAGAACATGAAGTAGATCTGTGATAAGTAAAGTATAATACATGTGTTTAATACTAGTACTGCATGTATTATATAGCATCCATTACATGTACATGAAAGTGGTGGCAGCTAAAAAGGAACACAAACCCTTCACGGAGAGATGTGATTTCAAAGGGAAATTAACAACACATTTGAATATGAGTTACATATAGGTTAATCAATCAGTATAATCAGCTGTTAGTGCTTGTAACATAAAATCTGTTCATGTGATAAATCTGTTGTCATGATGATATAATCATGAAAATGTGCATATATATATATATATATTGGTTTTTTTTACAAAACACATACCTACACTATATATAGTGTATATACACACACACACGCATAAAGTGTAGGTGTGTGTTTTGTTAAAAAAACAATATAAACACTCACAGTGAAAGTACCCATAGAAGGCCATACATATTGTATGCATTTGTGAAGCTAGTCCTCATATAGAAGAAATATGTAGTGTTGCTAAAGGAAGTACTTTTGCTTTAGGTAACAGGTTTTCTTGTTTTTTTTTTTTTTTTTTTTTGAGGACTGTTTTGATCAGAAGAATGTTCTAAATAAAGTCTCAACTGTCTGGAAGTGGTAAGAAATTAGTAACTCTCAGGCAGATTTGTTGTTCACCATTTAATATACTAATGAGGCCATAATTTTCAAAGCCAGCCTGTAGAATTTGTGGCTGACATACTGTATGTACAAATAAACAAGTGGGAAAAAACGGCTGTTGTACATCCATGACAGGCAGTTAGACACCTAACTACCGGATATTCACATCAATATGGGGGATTACACAAGCTAATAATTGCATGCATAATATTGAAACCTAAATCAGATGCAAGGTAGAGGCCCCTTGGAAATCTTAGTTCTAGAGATCAGCTCTAACTCAAGGGTGCCTGAAAATTGTTGAGAAAATGAAGAAGTACATTTAATTTCAACCATGAGTGTGAGAGTGATTTTGAGATGGGAATTCTGCAAAGAATAATGAAATATTGTAAACAGGAAAAAAGTAGGGCTGTCAAGTGATAAAAAAAATTAATCACGATTAATCACGCGATTAAAAAGATTAATCACACTGTTAATAGAATACCATTTATATAAATATTTTTGGATATTTTCCACATTTTCAAATATATTGATTTCAATTACCACGCAGAATTTAAAGTGTACAGTGCTCACTTTATATTTATTTTTATTATAAATATTTGCACTGTAAAAATAAAAAATAGTTTTTTCAATTTCACTTAATACAAGTACTGTAGTGCAATCTCTTTATCATGAAAGTTGAACTTACAAATACAGAGTTATGTACAAAAAATAACTGCATTCAAAAATAAAACAATGTAAAACTTTAGAGCCTACAAGTCCACTCAATTCTACTTCTTGCTCAGTCAATCACTCAGACAAACAAGTTTGTTTACATTTGCAGGAGATAATGCTGCCCACTTCTTGTTTACAATATCACCTGAAAGTGAGAACAGGCATTCACGTGGCACTGTTATAGCCGGCATTGCAAGATATTTACATGCCAGATGCGCTAAAGATTCATATGTCCCTTCATGCTTCAACCACCATTCCAGAGGACATGTGTCCATGCTGATGATGGGTTCTGTTCGATAATGATCCAAAGCAGTGCAGACCAACGCATGTTCATTTTCATCATGTATGTCAGATGTCACCAGTAGAAGGTTGATTTTCTTTTTTAGTGGTTTGGGTTCTGTAGTTTCTGCATCAGAGTGTTGCTCTTTTAAGACTTCTGAAAGCATGCTCCACACCTCATCCCTCTCAGATTTTGGAAGGCACTTCAGATTCATAAATCTTGGGTTAAGTGCTGTAGCTATCTTTAGAAATCTCACACTGGTACCTTCTTTGCGTTTTGTCAAATCTGCAGTGAAATTGTTCTTAAAATGAACAACACGCTGGGTCATCATCCAAGACTGCTATAACAAAAATACATGGCAGAATGCGGGTAAAACACAGAGCAGGAGACATACAATTCTCCCTCTAGGAGTTCTGTCACAAACTTAATTAACATTATTTTTTTAATGAGCATCATCAGCATGGAAGCATGTCCTCTGGAATGGTGGCCAAAGCATGAAGGGGCGTACATATGTTTAGCATATCTGGCACATAAATACATTGCAATGCCGGCTACAAAAGTGCCATGCAAACAACAGTTCCCACTTTCAGGTGACATTGTAAATGAAGAGCGGGCAACATTATCTCCCATAAATGTAAACAAACTTGTTTCTCTTAGCGACTGGCTGCAAAAGAAGTAGGACTGAGTGAACTTGTAGGCTCTAAAGTTTTACATTGGTTTTTTTTTTTTTGAGTGCAGTTATGTAACCAAAAAAAAAAAAAATCTACATTTGTAAGTTGCACTTTCACGATAAAGAGATTGCACTACAGAACTTGTATGAGGTGAATTGAAAAATACTATTTCTTTTATCAGTTTTACAGTGCAAATATTTGTAATAAATATAATATAAAGTGAGCACTGTACACTTTGTAATTGAAATAACTATATTTGAAAATGTAGAAAAACATCCAAAAATCTAACCCTAATATGTAGGTGTGGGCAAGAGAAACAGAGGGAGTAAAGAGCCTCCATGTTCTCCATTGAAGAGGCTGAGAGAAAAGGAAGTCACTGCGTTGAGGAGTCACAAGGACTATCCGAGGCTAAGCATTGATTCTGATGCTTTTCTCTCAACAGGGGAGAGGGCCAAATTTTTAACAAAGGACCCCTTCAAGTTTTCCATCTCGTTCATATGACATTTCTTAGGTAAAAAACACACTTTCTCACCAAATAAAATCCATCAATTCCATACTATTCTTCTGCACATAAAGAAATCCATCAATTCCATATTCTTTCCCATCCCTCAAAAAATCCATGATTTCCAGACCATTTTCCTCCATCCCATCACTCCTTCCACCCGCCTCCCACCTTCTCAATCCAATATGCTTCCCCCATCCAACACCTCATGAAAACTATTTCACAGGTAGGCTCCTCACAGCTGGAGTAATGGTAGCAGGAAAGTGTCCTTTAGCCTGTGCTGGCTGCAATAATAGCAGGCAATAGCCGACCTGCTACCTTTACCTGCAGGGCAGATGGCCAGGGGAAAGTGAGTCCCCTTTGATGGTGAATTAGGTATTGGGTCCCCTTTAATTCTTGAGGTGGATGGGTTTCCCCTGACTGTTCGGGGTCAGATGGAGCAGCAGGTTCCCTGGAGTGCTGCTGGGAAATCAGGGGAAGGGAATTAGGCTTTTGGCTCCCTCCCAGTGCTCGTTCTTTAAACATTGGACAGGCAGGCCAATGGCAGGAAGAGAGGAGGGCTGCAATGGGTGCAGGCTGTTACTCAGTTCAATTGGCTTTGCTGCCTCTCCTCCTTCTTCGAAGAAGTTTTGGGAGGCAGCTGGGATTTAGGGCTGCACAGTGTATACAGCAATGCATCCTCCATTCATTCCTACTGACACTAGAGGGGGATGCAGAAGAGAAGTTTCTCTTACAAAAGCTACTGTGGCAGTGGCAGGTGTACCCACACCATGCCAGCCACCTGAGTCACCAAAGCCAGCTCAGCATCATATTTTTAACAAGCAGGCCCAGTCTTCACACTTTTAGGTAACCCTGTTAAACAATTCTCTCAGACCCTCCATCAGAGGTGGTGTTATAGCCCACTGAGGGCCTTAAGCAGGAATATTTTAACTTCCCCTCCCCACACAACACATACTAATAGGGGGGCCCCAAGCAATTGCTTAGTTTGCTTATGCCTAGTGCTGGCTCTGCACTCTCCCCACAATTGTAACCCCCCTGGTAACAGAGGGCCAGCCTAAGAATTTTAAGAAAGGTTAATAAGGTGGGATCTGATCCAGGAGAATCACTTACACTCATTTTACATCATTGAGAAGGGGCAGAAACTTGCTTTTCCTTTTAAAATAAAAGACAGAATTCTATGTCATGGGGCCCAAAGGCTGCCTTTGTTTCTACAGGCCTCAACAAACACCCTGCAGAGCTCATCAGCGATCCCATCCCTTCCACACCAGCCAGCAGAGCTTTGTTTTTGCAAAGTAGAGCACAGCCACTGTAGTTCCCAGAGGTCTGAGAGGCACTGCGCCTGCTTAAATTATCATGCAGGCATGTAGCTATGCGCCAAAACTGCATGTTAATAGTTCTTCATGGAATGTTCATAATAGATCACGCATCTTAATGAATGTTCATGAATCCTAGCTAATGTCCTCTCATGATGGGACAGTACTTTGGAATGGGATATAGCAGTGGTCACCAACCGGTCGATCGCGATTGACTGGTCGGTCCTGGAGACTCTGCCAGTCGACTGCGATCTCCGGCTGCTGAAAGTCCGGCGGTGCAGTGGAGCGAAGGCAGGCTCCCTGCCTGTCCTGGCCCCACGCCACTCCCGGAAGCAGCCAGCACGCTGCCGTGGCCCTGCGGGATGGAGGGGCAAGGGTGTCTGCGCACTGCTTCTGCCTGCAAGCATTGCCCACAGAGCTCCCATTGTCTGGGAACGGGGAACTGTGGCCAATGGGAGCTGCGGGGGCGGTGCCTGCAGAATGGGGCAGCATGCGGAGCCACGTGCCCTCCCCTAGGGTGACCAGATGTCCTGGTTTTTAAAGGGACAGTCCCGTTTTTGGGGACTTTTTCTTATATAGGCGCCTATTACTCCCCACCCCCTGTCCCATTTTTTCACAGTTGCTGTCTGGTCACTCTACCCTCCCCCTAGAGGCCACATTGGCCCCTTCCAGGAGCGGCGTGGGAGCGGCCTGCAGTAAGTGCCACCCGGCAGGCGCCTGCAGCTAGTGAAAGTGAGTGAGGGTGGAGGATAGCCAGCAACGAAGGGGGGACGGGGGAGGAATGGAGTGAGTGGGGCAGGGCTTCAGAGAAGGGTTGGGGTAGATCCTGGGTTGCACTTAAATTCAAAAAGTGATCTTGTGCGTAAAAAGGTTGGAGACACTGGGAAATAGGCTATTGCAGGTGGGAGAATATTTGACACAGGAATTACAGTATATTCAGATATTGCACACAGCAGTATTAGCAAACTGGTTAAAATATTATCAAAAATAAAATGATTATATATAAAATACTGATTACTTTCCACTGTCAACATTCAATTGCATAATTTTTGGTATACTAATTGCTTTTATAAGTATTTTTATATGTAATCTTCTAGAATTGCCATTTTAACTGGGAAAAAAGTCAGCTTGTTCTCACCATTTATTATTACTATACAAATAGCATTGTAACACCAACCATGTTAACTAGTAAGTTAGAAATGTAGAGCAGAAACACTTCCAAGTGGCAGTCTGTCCACCCACTCTTGCATTATACATGACATGACATTTTTTCCCCTCCCTGGAGGGAGGTTCTAGGATAGCAGAAGCAGCTGGCAAGCAGAGAAGGAAGTAACTATTCAGAGGCAATCTGTAACTATCAAGTTAAATATTTTCCCTTAAGCAGTAATGCTTTGGTACTATCTAAGCATAGTGCTTACAATTACACCAGTATAAGTAGCTCAGTCAATACTGCTGTCAACTGTCTAGCATTAATGTTTGTATCTGACATCCAAAGAGAAAGGTGCATTATAGAACTACTGCTCAGGGCCCTGATCCTGCAACTGGATCAGCATAGCAAGATCCCTGCTTCACTACAGAACCCCAATGGATCCACCAATTTGGATCCAGTTGCAGAAATAGGACCTACAGTAAGTTGATTAGAAATGTATACTCAAAAAGGCAAAGAAAAACCTCTTACCAGATATAAATAATCAACAAAGAACGGAAATACAAAAAGCTATTTTTCAAAAGGGTTTAGTTTGTACATTAAGTTTTAGCCTAACGGCGTATGCGTCTGAAGGAATATAGGCAGTTTCATAAGTTACTAGAAATCTGCATATGCATTCTTTTTAAATATACTTTCTTTGTACGACACACACAGATTAGTTAAGAATAATTCAGTTTCTCAGATATCCTTGCCCACTCAACATGAAAAACAGAATATTAAAATAGAAAGTTGGAAGCTACTCCTTATAAAGAAATATTTTTTTAAAGTTGGGCCTAGAACTCATGACTCCAGATGCTTGTAAAATAAATCACCAGTATTATAAAAAAATAAAAAATGGAGTTATTTAAAGTAGCAAAACCTGGGTCAATTTAAGAGTTTTGTAGGACATTATTTTAGATTTCAGACAAACTAAACTTAGACTCCCAGCTACAAGAAACTTCTGGTTCCTTTGATATAGTGAAAGAAAAGCAATATGTATCTGCACCAACACAAAGATGAAGAATACTGCCTGCACATGGCATAGAGAGTCACAGAAAGCACAATATTCCTTTGAGGTTTAATTGTTTTCTAACTTCCAAACAAATTTTCAAAGAAATCTTATTGCATAACTAAATTGCAGATTAGATTAAGCATTTTTCTCACACTTTCCAAGCACTTGCTCTATTTCCACCATGTTGACAAGAGTTCAGTAATTAAAACTAAGATAATATATGCCATCAGCTTTCCATTAAAACAGAGAATGGGAAGCTAATGAGAGGATAATTTAGGCCCTGATCTCACAAAATACTTAAGCATGTGCTTAACTTTAATGGGAATACTTACATATTTCAAATTAAGCATGTGCTTAAGTGCTTCACTGCTGATTTAGACAACTGTTAGGAGTCTGTACTCATGTTATAAAGAAATAAAATAAAGCTTCAACAAACAAATAAAACCAAGGTAGCGTTTACGTAACTGCAAATGTATTAAAATGAAGCAAGATTCAACTTGTACAAAATTATTAATCTTTTCAATGTCATCAACACTCATGATTTTATCACAAGTCTTGCAATATTATTTGTTCTTCTTAAAGCTCCAGCACCCAGAGTCAAGTTAATACATGAACATTTCAGCTTTCATTTAAAATAAAAAGCACATTTTTTGTCTTTTCTTTATCTGAAAAATATTCTTCTTTCCATATTCATGGTATAAGCAGAACTTTAGTTCAGGTGTGAAGATACTGAAGCTCTCACAAGCAAAGATTAATTATTAATTATTGACAGCAAAGATTAATATGTTGGAGTACTTGCATCCATGATACCACAGTGATGAACTGAGTATAAGAAACTGACGAGAAATAGAATGGAGGATGTAGGAGAAATGTGTTGAGGGAGAAGATCAATCATAAAAGCATCCACTGAAATAATGGATTCACAAAATCTCAGCTGCATAAATTGTACAAATCATTGAAAGATCTGCTAAAAATGTTGACGTTTAAAAACCATGTTTGATTCTTTTATGGCATTTCAGATATCCTCTAAGAATAGACTCATAGAAAACAGTTCTCTTTCACTGATTATTAGTTCATGCATTTTGAAACTATTTATGTTCACTCTTAGCAAAAATTGCACTTTGATTTCATACTCCTTTTTAGTCCCCTTTATATCTGCTTAAATGACAAAAAGAATTGAGGTAAACACACAGCATAGCTTTTTCCCATCTGGCCATGAAGATTTTCGCTTCCAACACTGCTATATGCACAAACTAAGCAGTCACACACAAGCAAATTATTCATCAGAAAATTGTTTCAAGTTACTTTTGTGGGACTTCATTAGAAAAGTATTCTTGGGATTCAAATGAATCAGAAAATGGAATCTATGCATCTGTAAAATAAAGTAGTATTTAAAGTTTTAAAATTCTGTCTTTCTAACAAGAGGGGACATGGAGATTAAGACTCGTGTTTGTCTACACTTAGCTGTGGATTTTTTGATAGAGTTTCAAGCAAGAACTTTGAGGCTACTTACCCACTCTTCTTCATCATATTCTGAATGGTGAGGTATAGAGTTCTGCCGTTTGATCTGAGCTGGATGGTCCTGACCCTGTTGATCACCACACCCTTCCACACTGTTTCTGGGGATAGTTGGCTTCTTGAGGACACAACCTGGACGGGCAGTGTATAGCGCTAAAAGGGCACTTCTGACCAGCTGATCCTTGAAGGCATGCACAAATAACTCTGTCTAGAAAGAAATTAATGGGCAGTTAGACTGAAGTGTGTAATGGTGTAATGTATATGTAATTATTAAAATACACATTTTGTTTAGGTAGATTGAAAATTAATTGCTAGACAGTCAGACACAGAAAGGAACTTATACCAAACATTGGGGAACAATGTCAGGTTCTGGAACATTGCCAGTCTCTGAAATTCCACTCAACTAAAAGTTAATGCAAAGGTACAGTATCTGTTATAAAGACCATCTGTCTACATAGTCCTGTTTTATTCTAATTCCAAATCCTCTCTGTAGAGACAGGTTTCTATGGGGATAACTGTTTGAACAGTATCAATCTGCTGCTCTTTTTAAGTATGTCCCAACAAATGTCAAAAGAAAATGTGATTAATTTCAGAATTTTCTTTCCAAAAAAGAAACAAATAAATAAATACATTCAAGTAGAGTATAGCACAAGGAAGGGAATGCTTACAAGTGGGACTGAAGTATATGCACAAAGCATGAGCTTAGATCAGTGCTGGAATAAGTCATAGGCATAGGCACTATAGGCTCATGCCTAGGGACCCAGCTTTTGGAGTTAGTTGTGCGATGGTGTCAGAATCTCAGCTTTCTTTTAAATAAAAAAAAAAAAAAATCTAGCCCTTATGGTTGCAAAGACAAGTATGAAAATGTGACTCAAGAATAACCAATGAAGTGACATCATCACAGAGAAACCAGAACAAAAGCTTTAAAATTACATAATGTTCCTTCACCTAAGTGGGGTGTTAACTCAAATCCACAGCTCTGGGAGTTTTTGCCAATACCATCCCAGCAGGAGACTCTGAGATGCAGGAAGATATGAGAGCAACAGGGCTGGCCTACTCAGCCAAGCAGATATACTCCAGTTGCTGGCAGCACTGAGAGGTCTGCTGCCTGCCTTTTTGGGGAGAAGAGGGACCTTGACGCTCCTGAGGAAAAGGCGCCCTTCATGCCATTCCTAGAATGATAACTGTGACTCAGAGGCCCATTTGTGGTTGACTACTCTGTGACAACAGCTCTTGTCAGCCCTGACATACTCCCTACATCCAACACACTGTCGTCATAATATGTATCTAAAAGGTGTCATGTAAAATATCATTGGAAAACTAACAATTCACTGGTTATTAATATTCTTGCATGATGTAGGTAGAGGATGTATACAAAGAGTTACAAATATGTGCTAGAATTATGTCCTTAAAATGTGTTTGGCAAGCAGCGTACAAGTCCATTCTGCCCTAGACAAAGGAATGCTCATTTGCTCATCAGGCAGAGACAATAAAGGTCTGTTTACATATAAGATAAACAAATTGGTGGTGGGGAGACAGACAGTATGGTGTCTATACCCCAACAACAGAGAGAAACCATTTGGGCTATTAAGTCCAGGGTCTGAACCTCAAATGATAAGTAACTGAAGCAACTGACTGTATACAATATTACTGTATTACAAATGTGTATTGAGTAAGGTCCTTTCTGAAAGCTAATGATCCACTGGTGATTAATATCATTGTGAAATCTATGTATTAACATTATATGAGAAAATATGGATAATGCATGATATTATGCTTTAAAGACTGTGACAAACACAGGGAGAAACAGGTTTTCCCCAGACAGAAGGGAAGGGACCTATCAACCTGTCTCCAATGAATTAAACAAGGTGTGATCAAAAGCAATGGAAGCCCCATTTACATATGAATCAGCAGGGGGATAGGAAGTCCACAAGAAGAGAAGAACAGCATGAGATCATCCTGAGTCTGAGGACAAAAAGATGAATTTGGGACACTAATATAAGGAGAAAAAAGAAGCCATTTTGGCATCCATCACCAGACAGACACAAGAGGACAGAGCTCTTGGAAGCTGAGAAAGATTGGTAAGAAATCTACCAAGGCCGTAGTTTTTAAGTCTTAGCCATTACAAAGAGTATTTTTACTTTTGTTTGTAACCCTTTCTAACTTCATTTATTTTACTTGGTATCACTTAACCTATATCCTTTTGTTAATAAACTTGCTTTATTTTTACTATAAGCCAACTTAGTGCTGGGCTTGAAGGGAAGGGTGTGTTTACTCCAGTTAAGTTAATAAGCTGTAAAGAAGCAAACAAACCTTATTATTTCTCTGAAATGTTCCAGGAGAGGGCTGGACACTTGAGGGCAGATTGTTCTGGGGAAATTCAGGACTGGGAGGTGTTGGAGTCACCCCTGCATAAGGTAACTGTTGATAGTGACTAGAATGGGTCTGTTGTTCTGTAGGCAGACTGCTGGGGTCTGAGCAGAGTGCTGAACCAGGGTTGCATAGCACACAGTCACTCAGGATACTTCATGCTTGCCTCCTGGCTGTTGGTGTTCAGTCTGTGAGCCACAGCAGCAGAGCAGTTAAGACACCCAGGGTTACAGGGCAGGTGGTGACACAACCCCTTACTTGTTCTGGATCGCACCCCAGAACATGACAATAACTCTGCCCCATCCTGCTGCCACTGAATATGGGAAGTGAGCAAGCCTTCTCCCCACCACCATGTCAAGGGGGTGATGGGATGAAGCTACAGTGTGGAAGCAGAGCCCAAGGAGTGGAGCTATGGGGTGCCTTATGTTATGGTACTCCTTGGGCTCTGGTTTGCCTTAAATCTAGCCCTGAAATATATTATCCTGTTAAGCTTTCTGTTAGGAATATCATGGAAGGCCATAATTTTCTACAAACTGTGCCAATATGTTGAAATGAAATACACATCTGACTTGCACAATTTATAAAGAACCAAATTATTCAAGCCTTTATCTAGTTTCTGTTCAATTCTTGCTCAGGTAAAGCTCCAATTGTCTTACGTTGGAGTAATGTCAAACAAGGTCTGAATCAGAAATTAATAACAGAAATAATGAATTAATGACGACTTCAGCATTTGGCCCAGAGCTTCTATAGCCACTGTATGGAATTTCATGGTGCATATATGAGGGTAGAACTTCTGTTCCCCCACTCCATGCATGGAGGAGTTCTCTGCACATAGGCCTCTTCCCTTCATGCAGAGGAGTGACTCAGCTATTTTTCAGCACTGTCTTCCCACCACCTGAACATACTGGAAACATTCTCTGCATGGTTCATGAGCTACGCTGGGAGAGTGGGTGGAGACAGAGCAGATCTAGGGTAGTAAAACAACTCTTTTCCTCTCTGGTACCCCAGCCTTTAGTAGAAAAGATGATACATTTAACATGGGGTGGGCAAACTTTTTGGCCTGAGGGCCGCATCTGGGTATGGAAATTTTATGGTGGGCCATGAATGCCCGGTGGGGGAGAGGGGTTCTATGGGGTGTAGCAATCGAGAGGGCTCTACAGGGGCAGTACCAGGGACTCCTAGGTGGCCATATCAGGCACCGCCATGGGCGGAGGCACCCTAGCTGGGACGGGTTCAGCCCCTGGGTGGTTTCGAAGCTTTTGAGGGTGGGGAGCTTACCCCAAGTTCCGCTTGTGACAGTGTGCAGAGATCCCATGGAGCTAGACTTCGCTGAAAGGAGGATGTGACATCCCTGTACATCTCAATTCCTAACCCATCCTCAGTGTAACCAAACTAGATTCTTGTGCCTGGGATCCACAGGATTTGCTCCTTATCAGTGTTCCTTGTCTCATCTTAGGTTTGTCACCATATTCTAGAACTTTGCAGTAACTCAAATAGCCTCCAGCAACTCTCTCTTCCCTTCAGAAATGTGTATGTTCCATATCTGTGAAGTCCATTCCAAGTCTCCATATACAAGTGTGAAATAAATATGTTAGTTTAGAACAACGTCAGGCCTCTTAAAAATACAATACAATTCAGCTAATTGGCTGACCACAGCATATAAAAAGGTTTACATAATAGGAGTTACACGGGTACATTATATTTAAGGTAGAAGAGAAGGTTATCTGATCCACTGACATATGTCCCAGTAACATTTGACTTATGGGATTCTCAAACTTTTCAATGGATATATGAATATTTTTTGTTATAAAAGGCTGAAGAATCCTCAACTATGTTATACCAGAACTTCTTCCATCATACAGCAGGGCCAAATTCATCCCCAGTGTAACTCCAGAGACACAAATAGAGTTGCAACAAAGGTGAATCTGGCCCATAATATGAAACTTTTTTTATCTGAATGAGTAGAGGAAAAGTAATTTCAGTAATTCCAGGCTTCGAATAAGCGGGATATTTTTCAGTGCCACTGACACATCACATGGATCAGGACCTCAATTACTGATGGGTTGTTTTTAGATAATCTAAGTTTGGATAAATGAAGTTTGACTAAATTTCATATATACAGATAAACCCCAAGACCTGTTTGCCAAATACAATGCAGATGGTTTAAATGCACGATCTCTGCTAATTGCCAAATTTCTCTGGTGCTGTATGCTGTTCCTGTGTTCTCACTTATGCTCTGATTGAAAGCACATTGAAGTCAATGGAAAGACTCCTACTGGACATGTCTACATCACAAATTTTGGTCGACGCAAGTTACACTGGCACAAAGCCGTCGCAATTAGTATATCACTGATGCACGTTCATGCTCGGCTCCATTTGTAGGCATTACTTGTACTCACCAAGAGCGTTTGTATCGATGCACAGTGAGGTGCACCATGGGTAGGTAACCCAGTGTGCAACCTGTTACCATCCAGAGCGTCTTTTGAGACGTTTTGGCAATGCATGGTGGGGTTGAAATGAGTAATGCAGGGGTGATTGGAAGCAAGGGGTCAACTTTCCAGTGTACAACTGTCTCCATCCTACAATGTCAGCTATATCTCATAATTATCGCACCTTTTTCAAAATCCCACAAGCCTGCAAGGCCCTCCTCACTGTCTGCCATCTCTGACAGAAGCATGGACTGTTCTCAGTGGTAGCAGATGACAGAACAAGGAGCAATGGTCTCAAGTTGCAGTGGGGGAGATTTAGGTTGGATGTTAGGAAAAACTTTTTCACTAGGAGGGTGGTGAAGCACTGGAATGGGTTACCTAGGGAGGTGGTGGAATCTCCTTCCTTAGA